GCCAAATGCAACTTAAGATGCTAAACCAAAACTTTAAAAGGAAATTGCTAAAACACACTCCCTTCTCCAGACACATTCTGATCTCCCAGATTTCATGGAGGAGCTGTATGGGAATCCGTTCCCGTGTTGTGTTTCAAGGATCAATTACAATGTGCAATTCCTGCTGCTGGAATTTATCCTGCTATAGTCTTAGGACTTGCTCATATCAAATAGTTACTCTTCTTTTCCTTATTTCTTAAGACAGTATAAAAAAAAAGGAGTGTGATCCCATTTTTTCTGAAGTAAACTTTTTTCCCTGGCATTGTAGGATTTGAGAGCTCAGGTAATCAAGAAATCCAGGAAGCACCTGCTTGGCAATTTGGCTGAATATTCTAAAATAAGACTTAAAGAGCCTTGTGGACACCTTCACTGAAGGTGTCTGGAATGGAATTCTGCCAAGGAACAAACCCAGCGATGCAGAGACAATTCACAGCAAATTAAATGATCCAAAGTCCCAACTCCTGTTACACTGTGCTGCCCTGCTGGTCCCTGCACAACCTTCCAAAAAGTTTCTTCCCTGATGTACAGATCAAATGTTCTTCTGTGCAGAGGAGAGTTCCACCCTACAACCTCCTCATTCCTCTGGGACCATCACAATCCAGTATTCCTGACATTAATGCCCATGCTCCTGAGCAAAATTAACATGTTTTTGGATTTTACAGGGGAATGGTAAAGAACTGAGTAGAGGAAATAATCTTACTAAACTTAATAAGGTTAAAGCAGAATTAGCAGTATTGTCTAGTTCTAGCTAATACAAGAGGGGTCACATCAACTGAAACAAATACCAAGCACACATTTTTCACCTGATAAATTAAAAAGATTTGTGGGTGGTTCTTTATTTTCTTTTTGCCTGGTTAGAATGATTTTATTTTTGAAGGTCGTATGGCACTTTGATGATCTCTTAGTCTGACCATTTGCAAAACACAAATCACCAAGGACCTCTAAAATGTGAATTTGACAAGTCTCCAAATGAGACAGAGCAAGCTGCCAGAGGTTTTCAGCTTCTCCTCCTCCTCTATATCTCTAGATGATCCAAGGGGCCTGAATGCATCCCTCTGGGATAAGAGATGATGATCTGAACACTGGACTCCAAATCCTCAGGATGAGTCAGGCAGGAAAAGCATTTACTTAGAAACATCCTGGTAGCTGACAGGGGAAGGAAATGAAATAGCAAAAGAACACAGTGAAAGGTTTAAATGAAAATTTAGCAATAGCCCTTCCTTGCACATTCTCAGTGAATGTGTCAGCAGAAATTTGAGGGACTCCAGAGAAGACTATAGCACATTGTTCTCATTACTTTGCCTTTCACACAAAGCACTTAAAGCAATATGGCATGCAAAATTCTTAAGGTGTGCTTGGATTTTTTAGCTATTTAATACATCAAATAATGGCCTTCCTTCAGGAACTATGAAAAGCAATTAGTTATAATCGCTTATATGGCCAAGCAATCACTCAACAGGGGTTCATACTTTTGAAATACAAACTGGTGAAGTGCCCATGGAATACAAACCAGTATTTTTAACTCAAGTAGAAAATACTCAGCAGTATTTTCAACATTCTGTTCTCTGAATGCCACTATGGAGCATTAGATTGCCACACACCCGTGACCTCCAGCAGTTCTTCACCCCAAGGTGACCCAGCCCTGCCCAGGACGAGGAGGGCTCCAGTTGTCACTCCTGGAGTGGTGCCACCACCCAGCACACCCTCAGCTCTGCTGCTGCACAAGCAGAATTGAAAGTCTGTCTCCAGTTGGAAAAACCACTGAGAAAAGATGCTCTGAGCCAAATTGCAGCTGAGGTAAGGAGGGACACGTACAGAACCTGCCTTTGAACAGCTTAGAAACTTCCCACTTCCTCAATGAAACAGAGATGGGAAGAAATGGGATTTTTTGTGTTCTGAGTGTCCCATTAAAGGGCAATTTCCTAGCAAAGAACTGAAACTGTTTAAAACATCTTTAACTGTTCTGTCTGTAACCAGATGAGACAGTGCATTGTTTACAGCACTGTTCTCAGTTCTTGGTAACCAACCACTGAAGTTCCCCATGGAAATCATCTCTGCTTTTATACAGCTCCAGTCCTCAGTCCTAAACGAGTGCCTGGAGCAGAATTTGGGTTTTTTTAAGTAATCACTTCCTCACTGTTGCTGTCTGCTCTAAAAAACATTTAAAAGACTGAACACTTTTGTCTCCTTCCTGTAATTTTTACAGGAGAAATAATTCTAAGGGTTTCACCTAGGAGGCAAAGCCATGCTGTCCCAGCAAATTTTCAGTAGAACCATGCCATGTGTGAGTTTCTGGGAAGATAAAGTCTTATTTTTGTTTGAAAAATGGCAAATTTTATCTCAGGGATCCGACATTTTATTTACTGCTTATGAAGACCACCAATGAGAAGATTTAATTCCATACAAATACTTCAACATTGGTTTATGAATATAACCACAGCCGTTGTCAGCAACAGGAAGAGCAGCTGACCTGGAAAACCTCAGGCCATAGTTCCAATTTTTGGAACAGTGGCGATGTGTCACAAAGTGTTGGTCCAGTGTGACCTAAACCCAGATGAATCCCCAAATCAGCCATGGGGGCTTTCAGCATCTTTCCACCACACAGTGCTTAAACCAGCACTAACACACTGTGCTGCAGCTGCTGGCAGGGGAATCCCAAGTCCTGCTCCCTCAGAACCTTGCCTCTGTCATTTGGAGCTTGCATACTGCACCAATAAGGCTTGTGCACACAGAATTTGTGCATCATGGCATTGAGAATTGTGTCCCAGTCTCCCCTGAGCTGGCAGCCCTGGCTTAAAGCACACATGGACCATGGAAAGGCTTTGTTACCACCCAGAATCAGTTCCCCTTCCTCCTCTCAACAGATTCTTATGTCAAGACTCAGAGTTACTGCACAAACTAACACTGCAGCACCTGAGCCACGAGCTGAGAGACTGGAACAAAGTTCCCACTGCTCCAGTGACAATGTCACATCATTCCAGACTGAACTTTTACCAACTGAAATAACAACTATTATCTCCTAGAATGCCTCCTAATTTTTTCATCTCCTTCTGACACAGACATTGAGATGAACACACCCTGCAGAGAGAAAAACTTAAGACTTTGACTTCTTACGTGAGCATTACTCAATGTTCAGCTCCATATTTTGTCCAGCCTCTCCTCCCCCAAGACACCCAGATGGGTCACTTCCATCAGGAAATCTACTTTTTGTGGTTTCATCGTGGGGGTTTTGACTACAAATGGCTTTATATGTTGGGAACCCTTGGATTTGTCTGCATGTTATGATAAAACACAATGGAACCGTTCACAAAACAAAAGTTTTTACGTAACAGAACGTGCAATAAAAGCGCAAGAAAGAAAAGAGAGAGAGAGAGAGAGAGAGAGAGGTATCCAGAGGAGAACTTACCCCGCGCTTTAGGCTCCTGAAGCAGTGGATTTTGGGTTTGGAGGTCATGAACTCGTTGAAGCGATGGGAGAGGGGTTCCTTTTGCTGCTTGGGAGACTGGGGGCCGTTGGGAACAGCAGAGGGTGAGGCAGAGGCAGGGGGTGGAGGAGGGGGCTGATGGGGGGATGTTAAAAGGGACATAAGCTACGTATAAGAGATGGAGAAGTGACAGAATAAAAACCAAAATAAAAAGATAAAACACAAAACGAAAATAAGCATCAAAACCAATATTTGAAATCCAGAGAAAAAAACCAATTAAATAATTAAATATTAAAGGCCATGGTTTGAAAGAGGGGAGAAAGCAGTAGTTAAAAGTCGTGTTAAATGAAGAGTTGTGATAAATGAAAGTATTAGTAAGTGATGCAACAGAAGAGTAACACAAAAGTATTTTGAAGGAAGCTCATGCAGACTCTTCCATGCAGCACTATCCCTATAAATTGCCCTGTTCTGCTCTGTGGACAGCTGCAATAATGCATATGGATAGAGCTTTCAAATACCTGAATTTAAATGGATCAGATAAGGAAGGTACCTTAGTGCCCAGTAGCGTTTCTATTATCTGGAAAACAACAAACCACATTCCTTCCTGCTTCCAAATCATACCTCAGCAAGGTGCATCACACTTCACTTGTACAGATCATTCTATGAATTTGCTCAGGAGTTAGTCCTGGTTGTGTTTTTATTCTGGCTACACTGATGTAAGCACCAGACAGCGAGTCCTCTCCCACACCAGCACTACAGGAATGACCCCTTGTGCACATGGAGATTTTTAAAACTCAGCTTTAAGTGGTTTGGTAAAGGGTCAGAGCAAGAGTGAGGTCAAAAAAACGAAGCTATTCTGGGCTTCCATCAGTGTTACTGAAACGTGACTGAGTCCAGTCCCCCTGACACGTCCTGGTAACCCCAGATAAATGCTGCCATGCATTATGGTGTAAAGTATGACAGTGGGATGGAAAAGGTTTAATGGGTACATAAGTTAATATGGTCTTTTACAGTCAACTGCTCAGTTAGTTCTGCTCCATTAGTTGTGCTTCAGAGTGAATCCCAGCAATTCCCTGCTCCCAGCCACCCACCTGCTGACCCCAGTGCACAGACTGGAAAGACAACGTGAATGGAAAGCCAAGGAGAGTTTGAGGAGTGTCAAAACAGTAACGCCACACTGAAGCTTCCCACAGGTAACAATGTTAGTTGGCACACATGGCACTAGGTAAGTGGTTTACAACTCCTCCTCTGAGTTAGGAACAGAAATGGACCATGGCAGAGACATGACAACTTAAGTTAAATTAATTTTAAAACTGCAACATAATTAACGAAATTATACAAGAAAAAAATAATTAAAGTTATAAAGAAACTTAAGTAACCAAAGACTACAACAAAACACCATATTAAGACATCAGTTATTAACTTTCTGAATCTAAAATTCTCTTTAAAAAAACTAAACTTGCCATAATTACTAGACAAGACACAGGTTATTGACAAAACACATACTAGCACCAAGCTCAAGTTTGCAAATCAGTACCTTATTTTTCTTGATGAATGGCCATAACTTGCCCTTGGATTTGCTACTGAACTTGGGCTCTGACTTCCCATCCCCTCTGGAGTTGGAAAGGCTGGATTCAGACACTGTCCTCTTCATGGGCTGCGTGAAATCCTCAAAGTCGACGTCTCCCGGAGGCTCGAACCCTGATTTAAAGGCTTCTATTACCATCTGGGAATCCTGGAATGGGACAGACCCAACACAAGTGTAAACATCTCAGGTGGGGCTTGACATCAGACTGGTGGCACATTAAGGCAGAACAAGAACATTTGTCTGTGTGGGACCAGCCCTGGGAGTGACCAGGCTCATTCCTGGGAACAAGTGCCCTTCCAGAGCCCAGGATCAATGCAAGTTTCTCCACCTTCTGCTGAAAAGGAGTAAGAGCTTATGAACTTTACTGGCTAGAAAAGCAAATCACACTTCAGTAAGTGACTCATAGCAAAGATTTAAGGTACAGGTTTGCTGGGAATACAGCTGTTAGCAAATCAGAGGAAAATCCCAATAAAGACTCCTATAAAGCAGAGCTCTTGTGTGGTTACTCTGCCACAAGTCAACAAGCTGGTGAATTTAGTGACAGTAAATGGCTGTAAACATTTAATGAGCTTTACCCAACATCTGAGCAGTCCAAGGTCACACCAGCAGCCCTGTGCCCTGGTGTGGGAGCCACTGAAGCCACATTCCCTTTTGGCACTGCAAGGAGGATCTAACTCAGCCACAAACTGGCTGTAGACTGTGTAAAATGGCTTTGCTCTCTTGTTTTGGACAGAGAGAAAAGAAAAAAACCAAATCAAAGCCGAACCAATCCATAGCATTCTTCCTACTCAAGTCTACAAACAAAATTAATTATACATAAGATCAAATTCAGACCTCAGCTTGCCAAATGCATTGAAATCTAATGGACTCGGGACAAAAATATCCGAATAGACTTCTTATCTACTTGTTTTGTTGGGAAGAGAGATTGTGTATGCCAAGATCTCTAGAGATGCTGTGCATTGGCACACAAATATCTTATTATTCTCTAGAGAATAGCATCACTGCCCTGTTACATAAAAAGAACTTGTTGCTTTGAAGGTATTTCACAGGTTCTGTGAATGGCCGTAGGTAAAATGCTGTTCAGGAGAAATCTGCTGGGATATAAACATATCCAGAGGCCAAGCTCCATTGAGCAAAACACAGATACAGCAAAAGCTTTGCAAAAGTCTTCATGGGATTGTGAAGACCCACATAAATTCCTGTATGAGTTTTAGGGAGGTAGAACAACACTTTCCATTATCCCGTCCTTCTTTGACATTAAAACTTTCTGAGATCTAAACTTGAAGATATTTTTAGTGACAGACATGAAAGCAAGATGAAGAAGAATGATTAAAGAAGAGGAGGTAAAGAGTGGGAAAAGCTGAGAGAATTGGGATTGTTCAGTCTGGAAAAGAGAAGGCTTTGGGGAGACTCAACTGCTGCCTTCCAGTACCTAAGGGGAGCCTACAGGAAAGATGGAGAGACTATTTACAAGAGCCTGGAGTCCCCATCCCTGGAAGTGTTCCAGGCCAGATTGGACAGGCCTTGGAGCAGCCTGGGATAGTGGAAGGTGTCCCTGCCCATGGTAGGGGGTGGCCCTGGATGGGCTTTAAGGTCTCTTCCCACCCAAACCATTCTCTGATTTTAAGAGATTACACTATGTTATATTGAATACTCCACTGGTATTTTATCCTATGTATGGAACTTTCACTTTTTCACCTCTGAATTTTACAATGTTCCTTCCATTTACTCAAAACATCATTCCACTACAATGGAGCTAAAAATAACCATTATGCTCCATATATCACAGAGATAATGTCATAACAGGAACTCCAAGCCCACAACAAATTCATTTTATCTGCTGCTAGAGCCCTCTGAATCAGGTTCTGCACAGGTTCACCTGGCAGTCACCACAGCTCACACTTGCCACACGACCTTTGTGTTGTTCAAGTGGTTAGAAAGGGGAAATGGAAAAAAGAAACATTTAAAACTAACATAGAAATGCAGTAACAGGGAACCACTATTCCCTGCTAAGTGCAGGCAGTTTCTATTGGCATTAACAGGAATTCTATGCAGTGCAGTGAGGGCATAAAGCAAACCTATTTACACTGTTGCACATTTAGTAACTAATCCAGCACTTCCATTATAATCAACACAGTTAGAAATTACTGCTCCAGAGAAAAAAATGATATTTAAGGAAAAAGAACTCTTAATGAACATAACTGTTTCCAGGTAGAACACACTAAACCCTTTGTAGCTGCTCAGATATAACTATTTTGGTTAAATACATTTTTGTCAGCACAGTGTTTACGGGAGATCCTGGTAAATTCAGTTATCAGTGCTCAAAGTCATAATTTTCCAGTGTCACACTTGTGTATGAGCCATCATGGACTTATTTGTGAGCATGAGAATATAAAATTCACCCCGATTCAAACACCCAGCTTAATTTTCATGTGTGTTTTGCTAAGAAGTCTTAGGCAGAGTGCAAGCTGAGATATGAATCTCCCCAGCAGGATTTCACCATGCAGCACCAAAAGCTGTACCTCAAACAGGGTATGTTGTTCTAATATGGAACTCGCTGCCCCAATTCCCCTTTTCCCACCCAGAGAGTGGTTTTCAGATCCCTGAGTTTCCTCTGCTGCTCTCTGTGAGAGCAATTGCTGAACAGAGAGTAGAAGAATAATTTCAAAACTTCAGCCTCGGGGTTATGCTGCCAGTTCATTGCTCCAGGCACTGAACAACTCAGAAAAGATTCCAGTGAAAAACATGTGTGGGAAATTCAAACAGGCAGCAAGACACATGCTGTCAGCATTTGAAGCACTAATGTGATCCATGAGAAAGGCTGGAAGAACAGAGGCTTCATGTAGGAAGGGAGCAGATCACTCTGCAAACAAAACAGAAAACACATTTGGCCTTGTGGTCACCGTACATCAGGAAACTCAACCGAAATCTTTATCAGCTTTTCTATCAGAGAGGTTTCTTTGCATCCTGTGAAGGCAAGTGATGTTCAGACATCAAGATTTGCTCATTTACAGATTACCAGCAAACTTCAAACCTGCAAAGAAAGATTTTACAGAAAGATTTTGCGATAGTTCATGTAGCCAATAGTTTAAATACTTCCATTATTATAAAGCTGACTGTAATCAAGGCATTTCTGAAACAGTTTTCTGACTGTGAGATATATAAACCACCTTTATAAGAATTGGTGATTAAGTATCTGAAATTATGTCAAACATCACATGCTGATGACTATTTTTAAATTGCAATATTTCAAAAAGTAATTATCCTAATAAAATGAGAGAATATTCCTTAATAAAAAACAACAAAAAAAATTAAAAAGCATAACAGAAAAGGCGTTTCTGGATGTTAAGTAGATTTGGGAAATAATCTGAGCACATCCTGCCCCAGACAAAGCAGCTTGGGACAAGAAGCTGTTCTTTGGTTTAATTCCATGACTGCAAAGCTCCCGTGCTGAGCTTGGGCCCAGGATTTCAGTCTCCATAAAGTTGAGACTAATACTAAATATGAGAACCAACAATGCAACACTTACATTCTTGTGATCCACTGATTCTGCAGCCTTTGTTATCTCATCCAGACACTTCCCAATGATGGGGATCACTTGGCGGTCGACTTCTGCAAAGGTTTTCATGGATTCACCTATCCTCACAATTCTTCTTTCCTCCATCTCTTGTATTTTCTAAAATATTACATTTCATTCAGGTCAAACATCAAGATTAACTTCACAGTTTCACCCAATTTTCCTCTCCAGCTTACATCAACTACTTTAAAACTTAAGGATTAAATATATTTTTAAGAACAAACTAGGACAGCTGTTCTCAGGAAGGCACCAAGTGATATTGTTCCCTCACACATCAAAATGTCATTCTTAAAGTAATCTATTTTACTATTACTGGAAACTTTTTCAATTAACCTTTTATGTTAAAATTGCTGATTTGTCAAATCCCAGCTTTAGACTTTTGTAAGGATGGTTCCTAAGGCTTTTAAAAGAATTTCTGCAACAAATTCTTTCATTTTCTGAGCATATTCAGAACAATCTCATTTTCACTTCACTGCAGAATTCAAGGAAACAAAAATCTTTATGTCTCCCCTTCTTTTCCCTAGAAGGTAATTTTTAGTCTCTAGGGAGTCCTGTACATATAGTTTTGTTCACAATACATCATGTATTTATGCACTGATTTCAGGAACAGCTTATCTCAAGGCATTGGTTTGAAATACCACGAGGCAAAAGAGGAGGTGTCCATTTAGCTCACAAGTTTCAGCAGTGGGTAAGAAGTGCATGTTTGCCACGCAAATATCAGCTACAGCTCATCTGGTGACAAGCATGTGACACGTCCTCCCTTGAAAAGGTTGTATTTTCCACTTCTGATGCTCATGACCCATTACAAGGGAACAGTCATTTAGAAGTTCTGTTCTACTACATTACCCTCAATTCATTCATTCAAGCACAAACTCAGGTCTTCACTCAGAATGAATCTGATGGCTTTTTTATTCTTCCTCTGCAGTATGTCCTTAGACATCCTAAAACACCATCAGTAGCTTGCTTAAAACCCTTTGGACTCACTGCTGCAGAATTATTGTGGGTCACATTTAACCATGTGTGCAGCCTGATTTGAACACAGGTTATGAAGGGCTGCTGGACTTTAGAGATGCAGCAATGCCCAGCTGCCTCCTGCCCAACAATGCCAGTGATGCTCTCCCTCATCTCCAGCTGCACAGACACAGGAGCTGAACAGAGAAAGATTGTGAGGATTCCAAATGCTGTCCTCATCTGTCACGACACTTCAACGTCACCTTCCTTGTGTGTTATTCATCCCTTTAAATCTAATTTAAGAAAAAGGGATAATTTATCCTACCATCTCTCAGGGTGGCAGAGTGCATGTAAAATTTGCTAAGAATGTCCAAAAAAACAACCAAAAATTAAAAGTCAGGGTCAGAGAATTGAGGTGATGCACAATATATTCCTATCACAGGATTATGGGCTACTCTAGAGCCCTGCCAGTGACCCTTACCTGGAAGATGTTTGGTATGTGTGTGTAGTAATGCTCATGCTGCTCACTGTTGAACTTCTGTAGGGTGGAAGAATATTCAGCTTTGCTGTCCTCTGCCATCTGATGTCTTAGCTGGGCTTGCTGTCTTGCCTGAAGAAATACCAAAAGAAATGTATAATTTGGGCTATATGGAAAGCAATTGCATTGTGGTACTCCTCATCTTGCTATCCAAGAACACTATGAGACTCTGAACACCAGCTTTGGGTTTGCTCCTCTTCTGTGAAACATTCAAGCTGCAGTGTGGTCAGTGCTGCTGCTCCTTTCTGGGGTTACAATGTGCTATTTTGTGAACCATTTTGCATTCCATGAACAACCTCTGTTTGAACTGCATGTCAAACACCAGAACAAGCTGGCCCCTCCACCTGCCCACGGTTCAGGCACCTTCCCAGCACATTCCTGGACTGAACTTCTTGCTCCCCCAGTGCCCTGGTGGATGCCACCTGATACTTTCCTCTGATGAGCTGCTTCCCTCTTGGTGAGCAGCCTTTTCTGGGGAAAGGGAAGTGAGAAAAAAAACAACACTTTTGTCTCATTTTAGCCAACCTAATAATGACAAAACCTCTTAACTCTGTGTGCCCTGCAGAGCCCTTTCTCCACACTCCTCACACAGCCCTGGCATGAAGCACACAAGGAAAAAGGAGCCTGAGCAGCAGCTGAGATGCCTCTCTTCCTATTTTTACCCACACAGATGATTTGCTTTGCTACCCAACATAGCAGAGCACTGGGCAATTAATCTCACTTCTTTCCCTAGAATAATCTGTCCCCAAGTGACCCTTTCACGTTTCTGTTCCCAAGGCCTTCTGTTATCAGTTTCACTGCCCAATATTCTTCCCTTATTGCCTCACCCATCTGTTTGGTTCAGATGCCTTTTCTTTCCCTGTCTTTGGCCTTCACAGAGCAGCTCTTCCATCTATTCTCTTCCAAAATTCCCTAGGTCTTCGCCACACTGAAACTCGCTCTCCCTGGCTAGAGCTCTGCTGCAGAATTTCTGAATAATTCCTTCAGACAAGGCAGAGAAATGTAGCGTTAAAAACCATGTTTCAGGGGACACAACAGAACAAAGAATTTTAGCATATTTTAAGTGGGCTCCCATTAAAACCAGTTCAGAACAGGGTTATTCTTTGAACTGTTCCAAGCAGACAATAGTTTCCTGACAAGAAATCCATGGAATACCAAATCATGGAACATTTTTGTAATCATAACTGGAAGGTAACAAATTCTGCCAGGAGGTTTCAAATCTCAATTTGTAAAGAAGTAGCCTTCCTCCACATTTCTGGAGTTTGCACATCTCACCTAATAATTTATTTCGCCTCAATTCAGATATTGCTTCTGCAGCCGATTGTAGGAATTTCACAGATCCCCTTCACATTCTTTCTACAGAAATAATTCAAGCAGAATGAGGAGATACTGGGCACTAAGTGCATCACAGGAGATGAAACAGTAGCATCAAATGGAGAAGAATGTGACTATAACCAAATAAGTGAATCCAATAAAAGACATATATTCAACTTTGCTTGTTCCCAGGAGTTTTAACTGTCCACTAACTCCTGCAAAGGATGAGTGCCTCATTCCAGAAAATTCACCCACTGCAATCAAATTCCAAGAAGACATATCAATCATTTCCCTGCTCAAGTGCTGTAAAGTTTATTAAACTTTACCATCCACACACCCACGTGCAGCTACATTAAATACAAGTGGAAAACAATATATCCTTGTGCCACAAATACAAATTTACCAGGAAAACAAAGTCAGCCATGGAAAGGCAGCAGCTGTAAGAGTGGTTCACACTCATCTCCCAACCCCTTCCTCACGTCCCAGCTGCTGCAGATCAATATCCATTTGTGAGGCCCATTCTCCTCATCTACCTAAGAGGAACCCATTGTCTGAGCTGACTTTACACCAGCCCCACTCCCACTCATACAGCTGTCTCTCCCTTTCTTTTTTTAAAAATAATTTTAAATAATGCAACTCAAGAATTTGTCCCTTGACTCCATTGTTGAAGCAGAAAACCAAGAAATCCATTATTACACATTTCCAGGCAGACCCAGCAAGCATTAAAGCCATCAGAGTTCATTTTTATGAGCAAATTCATTGGCTGGATATGACAAAGTAGCTCTGAGCTAAATGTATACAAGAGTAGACACTCAGTTTCCAAAATTATCTTAACTGGCCCCAAATAAGAGGGGGCAGCAGATGAGTAAATAAAATTGGGTGCATTCCAAAGCCAGAACTTTTTCTATGAGAGCCCTAGTGATGCTTTGTTTCTCTTGGCCATTTAATGCATTTGGCAAGCTTCAAACTGTTTAAATATCTTTCCAATGAGGTATTTGGATCTGAAAATAAATATATATTTTTTTAATCTAGAATTTTTTATTACTTCATTTCAGTATGTCACTTCCTCTAACATCATCACTTCCAGTATTAACAGAATTGTACCTTATAGTGAGACTCCTGCACTCTGTTGAAGCACAGAGTGATAAAAACAAGTCAATGATGTTAAGTTTCACATTTAGAGTAATGGACGCAGTAGCACAGAACTGCAGAGAGTCACAGAAGCTATTTCAGGAGTAATTTATAGCTGGGATTTGCAGAAAATGAACTTTTGCTTCTTTGCTGCTCACTTGTGCATGGAAACAGCTTCAAAGAAGTTTTTTTGGGGGCTTCTTTGAGTTAATGCTAAAAGATTTGCTCTGAACATTATTTCCAGGAGGACAGGTTTTGGAATAGTTGGGGTCTGGAAAACCAGACGATGATTTCAGATATAGAACAATACTGGGATGCAGCTTTCAGTCAACACATTCCCTCCTTTAACTAGGCAGGGATAAGTGAGCAAGAGCTCAGTTTCCAGCTCCATATGTGAAACACAATCCACCTCCACAGGCTGACAGATTGCTCAGTTGTAAGAGATGTCAGGGCCAGGGACTCTGTATGCAGCAAAAACTCCCCTCTTCAAAGGAAAAAAGAATGAGGTCACCTTTCAGCACTGTAGAAAACAAAAAGGGTATGTACACCTGAGGGGTTTGTGGGGAGAACAGCAGTGTTCTGCTTCCAAATGCCTGGCACTGTAAAAGATGCACAGATTCCACACATCTCCCACCCCAAACATACCTTTGTAACAGTTTTTTGACCCAAAATAAATGTGCACAGTGGATATAGGCTTTGCTTCCTCCCCGAAATCTGGGTTTGTTAAGGTAGCTATTGTCTGAACTCATGTGGCAGCACCAAAACCAAAAGGTCACAAATGTCAGGGCTGGTCTCATCCAGAAAAGTGCTTCCCAAAATGAACGACAGCCCAGGGGCTGCAGCACCTCCAGCCTTGCAGGGAGCAGACAGGTAAGCTTTGGGCTCCCCCTGCACCTGCAATCAGATCTGAGCAGCCACACCAGGGGAGCGTTTCTGCAGCTCTGAGAGAACACTCGAGGAAAAGGAGTGCAGCTCTGATAGACTGAACCAGGTAACAGCTCACCTGCAGCAGGGTAAGGCTTATTGTAGGTGGTGACCTCCTCTCAGAACCTGTGCAGAAATTCCATTAAAGAGAATCAGCCCAATCTTTTCCCCTTTGTTTAGACGGCCTTGCTGCTTGATGGGCAAGAATGCAGAACAGTAGGTAACTGTAGAGTAGTATAAACTTGCAAAGTGCTGATTTCTGTGGCTGTCTTCAGTACTTTAAAAGTGTTCCCTAAAAAAATAAGGCCTTGGCAGCACACCCACCTTAGGTGAAATACACTAAATTCAATGGCCATATGAGGTGTCAACACACACTGTGGAATCTATCTCTTAAGGTAGTGGGAAGAGCAAAAACATGGTTCTCTCAAGATGATTTTAACTACATTTCCTGCAGATTTTCATCTTAACAACTAAGTTGCAAAAACCAGACTCCCAAATAAATAGTTCAGATAAATTACTCTATCAGGAGCTCAGAGATGCCAGAAAGGAGATGCCAGGGTAGGACACTGATGCACTGAAATCTGACTTAAGTATTTATGGGGGTATTTCTTTCCCTTTTAAAATAAAAAATTAGAAGACAGTTAACCCTGCAAACCTTTGAAACTCATGTTAGAGAGATATATTTAGTGTGAGCCCACCTGCATGAAACCACCTGCAGTTCATGAGTGAGATGCAACTTCAGCAATCAGTTCACAGCAGAATGAGACCAAAGAATGACAGACAAGGGAACTTATCCATAATCCTTGCAAACATTTTACTAGCAGCACTAGTAAAGCTTTATATATTGGTCTGAATTAAATCAGTCCTCATACTTTATGCCTTTGAACAAGAAAATTGAACAGAGAAAGGGAATATGGATACTTTATGATGGGCACTGTCAACCCTGAAAGTGTAAGAAAACTTTTGAAAACTGCTACACTTTACATAAAGGCTCTTAGAGAATTAAATGCTTTCATTTATATTGATCCATTTACCTTCTCCCCCAAGCCTCCTTTGATAGGAAATGCAACTTGTGATGAAGAAATTTTTAAAAACCAAGTATATTTTCTGCCATTTTGGTCTCCAGTAAAGAAAAGAATGAGGATATTTTGCTGAGAACAATTTTCTGAGACACATTCCAGAAACAGCAGAAGGGTCAATAGACACACTGTCTTCTGGGTTTACACAGACAAAAAATGCAACTCCTCAGGGCTGTTATGGTGGGAGTGATATGAATAACTGAAAAGGGCAGAAAAAAACTTTGGCTGTTATTCAGCTGGTCCACACTAAGTGGAACAGTTCAACTCCTCAGCAGTCACTCTTGTCCAGAATGGCAGAGTTTCCAGTCAAAACTTTGGTGTCACTTTGTTTCTTCTTTCTTTTCTCCCATTTTGCACCCCCTCTTTTCTTTCAAACTCAGACAGCATGTGAGATGCATCACTGCCAGGCCACTCCCTGCCAAAACAGATCTGTCTTTGGCAAATCCAAGATCAGACTAAATTGCAAACGCAAAAAAAAAAAAAAAAAAAAAATCACCCCTGCCCCCTCCCCTGAACTACCCAATCCCTTTAAAATAGCTTAATGATAAAGGCAGACTCAGAAACACTTCCCCAGTTACAGGAATGCTTTCTATTGCTCACAGATTTTTCAGCTCCAGGCTCTGT